CCTCCATCCATGGAGGAGTTTTCTAGGTATTTCCATTTACGTTTTTTATTGTTTATTCATGTGCCCATCTGTCTTTACTGAGTGGCTTGTAGTAATCCGAATTACCAAGATTTAAGTCATTTTTAAGCTATAGCATTATTGAAAATACATATGTCCCATTGATAGTGGCAGGTGAAGAGTATTTTCTCCTTTCATCCCAGAGGCGTCTTCAGCCCTAACAAGTGGTGAAGTTAAATCTCAGGGATGTAGTCTGAATGCTCCCTACCACTAGTTAGAGTGCATAAACTGAACTTCTGTTGACTGATTACTGAGGATCTTCACAGATATATTTTGATATGAAGTCTCTTTGTGTGTTCTATCTCAAAGACTGGTCAAGTCTTACTTGCACATTTACACTAGAACATCATACAAATCTACCTCTGCCAATCTTGCTCTTAAAACCTCCTTAAGAGCCATTAGGAGATCCAAGTATATCTTTCATAAGCAGCTTAATTGGGGTCAAGTTCCAACCTCCCACCAGCTGTATCTGCTCCTCAGTTTAGCTCCTTTCCTCTGTCATCTTCCAGTGCCCCAGCAGTGTCCAGGCCACAGGGAGATATCTGCAGTATGATAAATCTGCCCAAATGATCATCATCAGCAATGCTCAGCTCTATGTTGTCCGCCAGGGTCTTCATGTCAGTTCCTATTACTTTATTGTCTCCTTCTAGGTTAAAAAACTCTGAAGAAAACTGTGTCTCTATAATTTAGAAAACAATGCTGATGAAACAATTGATAGAAAAACATACCACTGACAGAAAAACAACTGGCTTTGCTGAAATGTATCTTTGGCTATATTCATGTATTAACCAGACCCAGATTTACTAGCAGCCCTGTAGATGAAGCTAAACCTGACTGATTAAGCTGATGAGCTTAACATCTTAGATAAAAATAACCAGGTGTGGGTGTGTGTGTATTTGCGTATCTCTAAGAGTACTTAATGCTCTTACTGTGACCATCTGCACAATATGCTTATCCTCTACACTCCTTCATAGATGCTGCCAGTCACTTCCATCGCTGTGCTTGATGCATATTTACAGCACAGTGGACTACTGGATGCTGAGAGAAAAAAAATAAAAAGGACAGAGGAACTTTCTTTTTAGGAAATACAGGTGAGAGCAGGTTTTCTCTTTTTGCTAACACTTGGTTTTTGAAAATGGGCTGCTCTCCTTCAAAAGGAAAGTTTCTTTTAAAACCCAATTCTTTTGGAAAGCAGGAGGCTCTGGTAGATGAATCCTCACAGGACAGTGTGGACTCTGGTCCTGCAATGGTGGAGGATACCTGTTTAAATTTTCAAAAAAAGGAAAAGGAAACGCCACTATACTCTGACAAGAACTGTTCACAAGAAACTCTCATGGCTCGGCAAGACTCCCGCCCAGTGTTTCCTCAGAATACAATTAATAATCAGGAAGTCAGGGTAAATGAAATGCCCCAGGAAATAATTGGAGATGCTCTACAAGAACATATGGTTCAGAGAGTGGAGATCCAAAAGAAGAACATGAGGAGGAGATCTACAGATAGGCACAGAAAGTCTTCTTCCATCCAAACAAAAGCGGACTTTCTACCACATATGGTGAGGGCTCACCAGGCAGCTTATGGTTTCCTGAACCCAAACATCACCAAATATGAAACTCTCCTGGGGCTGCTAGACCAGGCGACTCAGACTCAACTGTCCCTCCAGCCCATAATGGCTGCTTTGGTGTTGTACTTTGAGGAAATCAACCAGGCACTGGAGGAGATGGCTGAAGAGGGTGAGCTGATGCTTAAAGAGTATGGAGAAAGCATGAGCTTACCATCTGGGATGGTAAGTCAAGCTCTATGGTCCGATAAACCTTCCAATACTTTAGCAGATCTTCTTGATCCTCCCCCAGATCTTTTACAACAATTGCTTCAGCAATCATCAGAAAAAATGAAGCGAGTTGGAGGCTCAGTAAAGAATTTGGGTGATACTGCACTTGATGAAGTCATAGAATATTTCTCTTGCCTTTCTAAACTATTTGCTGAGAAGCTACAGACTAAGCAGGCTGCAGAGCTTAGGTTGTCTCAAGTACTCGCAAGAATAGAAATGTCAGCAATTAAAACGTCTAACCCAAAAGATTCAGCACTTCCCAGTGAAGACAGTGGAATTGGGGGAGAGAGCGAGAGCTTGGCTGGCTCAGAAAGGCACCAATGCCACCGTGGTAGTGCTGGATCTGGGAGCTGCAAATCTATTGTCGATGTTTGGAGTGTGTTTGGACATTTTCACAATGATTTGGCTAAGTTTGTTACATATAATAAAGATGATGAAGAAGAGGAGGAAGGGAATGCTGACAAATATGGGGATGATGATGATGATGATGATGACGATGATTATGATGATGATGATGATGATGATGATGATCGGTGTGAGAGGAGGAGATCAAGGTCCTCTCCACCAGATCCCTGCAATGCGCTTTGCTACATGTGTGCAAACGATATGAAAAATCAGCAGCCTGCCTTTAAGAAACGTTTTACTGAAAGCTGCAATGTTCACTGCAAAGCTGAAAATTACTCATCCAGCAGCTGTGCGAACGTGTTAATAGAGCTGCAAAGGAGTCAAAGAGAATTAGATATAAAAATGAAAAAGATTTCTGAAATGCAACAACCAAAAGACTCCACTTGGTCTCAACCTGGACTTAGAAGACATTCTTTAAATGCATCAGTTGATTTTCACAAAAGCCGAGGGAGAAGAAAGAAGCCACCATGCTCATTAACTCCTTCACAGTTACCATTAATTCAATCAGTAAAGTGCCACTCATATAGCCAAGCATTTAGCCAAGGTATGGATGGGCTCAATAAAAAGGGTTCTGTGTATAACATAGGATATAGTAAAGGAGAGGACACTGGCAACGCCAGCAGGAGCTGCACAGATTGCAGGGATGACCTGGAGATTGATAATCTACCACCTCCACCCCCAGAAGTTCTATTGGACAATTCCTTTAAGTATCATGAAGGACAACTGCAAACTGAAAAGCTATGTGGAGATCCAGGTCTTAGTCTCCCACTGATACACCCACAAACCCAGCGAAGGAAGAAAGTTATGCAAAAGATGGAAGTTTTGCCAAACAAAGTGAATGTAAAACTAAAGTCAATAGCTGCATCACCTGCTCCTCCTATTAGAAAGAATGGACCCACTGAGATTCCACAGCTGCAAAAGGTGAACCTTGAAAAACCTGAGGAAACCAAAGGGCTTTACAAGCAAGCCAGAAAGATTATTCATATATGCAATACAGGAGAATCAACTGACACTAAGAATACGCCCACAGGAGATTTAACAGCCCTTCAAGTTACAAATGGCCAAAGTTGTGACAGAAAAACAATGTTGGAATCTGAGATGGCCTCTGTTAAGCTGCCTGTCATAGCACCGCCTGTTTCAAGAGTTCGTTTGACTCAAGCTTGTCATTCTGTGTACCACAGCTTTGCAAGACCACCTATGTTCAGACCATATTCCAACTCTCGGCCCCCTTCCCCTACAACAGCTACATGTGTAAATAATAACAACACAGAGCAGATCGTTCCATCTCTGTCCTTCCATGAGGCTCGCTCGGTCTTCTGTAAAAATGAGTTGCAAAGTCCTCAAACCACCCAGCCCCCTGGAAGTGCAGTGCTTCCCAGAAAATGTGGAGAGATACAGCGGGGCAGGCTTTGCACAAGAGGAAGAGACAACCCAACTTCTCGCACTCAGTCAGAACAGAGGCCTGGGATGACTTCTTATTCAGAGTATGAAAGAGCTGGCCATTTGTTATCCCAACATATCCAGAAGGATGAACCGTCTATAGAAAAGTAATGGTGAGTACAATCCAGAACATATTCTAATTACATATACACAACTGGTGTTCAGGAGTAACAGGTGAAAAAGTGGCGCATTAGTTTCAATAACAAGAAAGACACTGCAAAAAACTGAAATTTAAATTGGTCAATTTTTTCTTAGAATAAGTGCAGTTTCTTGAATTGAAGAGGTAAATGAGAAAATTTTCAATTTGAAAAAGACAATTTACATTTAAAATAAGAAAGATAAGAAAATAAGAAAAATCTATTGCATTGGATGTAGTTCCCCCAGACGCTGCATTTGATGTGAATGCACCTTAACAGGCAACTAAATCAACTAAAGTTGACCTGTGCACAGCAACATAAAGTTAGAACTCACCTTCTCTGAACTTTTAACTGTTCACACATTATGCGCTCATAATCTTGCATGTCAACGGGTCACCTCCCCCCACCCTCATTGTGGACACCACACCACATAGCTCTGTTTATGTATCTCACTTACAAAAGACAAACCCAGTCATACAATTTAGGAACTAAGACATTGAAAGCATCCTTTCAGGCTACTTTCCTGTGACAGACTGGGATGTGTTAGAGCTACCTCCACCTTGGAGACTTCCTCTGCCAACATACAGGACCATGCTGATTGTTTGACTGGGAGCATTAGCTCTTGTATTTATAGCATTGCACCCACCATATTTGTCCAGAGGTAACCCTATGAACCCCTGGATAACAACTAAAGTTCATGACTGCATTTCAATCAGAGAGTGAGGTGAGGAAAAAGCTGATGAGTATGGAGCCATCAAAGTACAGAGATAGTACAGTATAGTACTGTTCTTTGATTCCTCACCTGCCTCCAGGCAGGCATAGAGGGGCAAACAGCACATAAAAGACAGATTGTCTCAGTTCACACCTATAAAAGTCTTTGAGCAACCTCACAGAGAGTGAGGTGTGTTACTATTGCTTGCAGCTAAAAATGTCTGATCAGTATCAAAGTTCTCCAGGCGAGGAAACAACGTAGGATGCTACATGGAGGCTTCATGTAGAAACCGGTGTTTGCAATCTTTAGACAATGTTAATGCAATCGATATGTGAATACATGTTAATATTTTTAATTGAATCACTTTTGACACTGATTACCATCCTACGAAGGAGACGGGAGGAAGTTTGGAGGTATCCACACTTGGACTTGCACTGATGGGACGCATTTGTTCCAGAGATCTCTGGAACAAAAGATTCTTTAAAAAAAAACTTTTATAGTGATATTCTAAGAGCTACATGTTTCAGTACATAAACAGAGACGATGCAACTTCCTCACCTCACCTTTTTTGTCTGCTTCTCTGATAACGAATGTCTTCATTTTTTCTAAAAGATCAAATATATTTTTAGTGCTGTATAACGTTGACTAACAATGACCTCTTAGATACAGTCTACACACGTTCTCCTTGGCGTCACCCTTACTGAACATAGGAAGGGTGCATCCTCACAACAATGACTCATTAGTGGTCTTCTGAAAAAAATAAAATAATAACCTTTGGCTTATAGTTGTTGTGGGACAAAAAACAAACCAGGCAAAAGTTGGTGTCCGGATGTTGCCTTTTATCAAAAGTTCAGTTAAAAAATTGTTGTAAATACTTTCTGATACCGAACGGCATTTAATAATATAAAATTAAGTATAATGTAAGAAAAAAGCTGAGTCAAAAACTTTGCTTTGTATAAATTGAATATGTTCAGCTCCATACAGAAATCACCTAGCAAATTGGGTTCTCAGAAATAACCCAAAGTGCTCAACCATGCAGTTCGGTAAAAAGAGTAAAGAGAAAGAACCACATGATGCAGCGATACCAGAATCCCTGGCCTTGTCCTCAGAGGACGTGTTGCCAGCTGGCTGATGTCTTCACCTCATTTTATACATTTAATTCTGCTTCCAAAACATATCCACAAACTTTCCACTGTCTCCACTCTACTGCTATGGGTCTTTATGACTTTGAGGTCCCAGTCTATCAGGATTAGTAGTAAAACATCGACCCAGGTCCCATCCTTTACTCCCTGTTCACACATGACTTTGTCGCCTCCATAGGGACAAAGTCACCCTGAAGTTTGCTGATGACAGCACAGAAATACAGGCATTATTGCAATGGGGTGTTGGCATTAATATAGTGTTCAGCATTCATCGCCCTATTGGTAGAGCAGTGAGCAATGCTCCGAGAAGGTTGCAAGTACCCGATTTGATCCCCACAGACTATCATTCTGGGTCCCTGAGCAAAACCCTTAACCTTACACTGCTCCCCGGGCGCAGCACAATGGCAGCCCACTGCTCCCCAAGTAGGGGTGTAAATAATAATTGTCTTGTATCGATGCATCGATCCAACAGCCGACGATCCGATGCATCAATACGTCCGCAAGAGTTCGATTCATGTATTTTTTCCCTCCGGTCTATTTTTATCCATTGGACGTAATTCTCCCTCCCGTGCTGCGGTGGCGCTAAACCTATTTTGCCCTCCTACCTCGCTTCCTGGTTATACTCTTACAGCAGTGTGTTGCAGTGAGCTTGACACAAACATTTTTGATTTATGCTCAATATTNTATCCACACTTGGACTTGCACTGATGGGACGCATTTGTTCCAGAGATCTCTGGAACAAATGATTCTTTAAAAAAAAACTTTTATAGTGACATTCTAAGAGCTACATGTTTCAGTACATAAACAGAGACGATGCAACTTCCTCACCTCACCTTTTTTGTCTGCTTCTCTGATAATGAATATGCTGATGAAGGTTCTCAGTCATCCAGGTCATAGTCATTCCGTAAAAATTCAAAAAATCCACTGGACTTGGTTTTCAAGATTTGAAGACGTTTCGCCACCTCTCCAGGAAGCTTTCTCAATTCCCCAAGGGGACGGGTTAAATGCAGAGAGGGTATTTAATCATTGTGGGACAATAAAGGGATTTACATTTTTTAAGTTACACAGCTCTAGATTTAATACCTTATTAAATACAAATTCAACAGATGAGTATGAATTCGTAGCCCCAGTGTCTATAGCTGATAGCAAACTTCTGTGAGATCCTGTATCTCTGCGCTGTCATCAGCATTATTGAATTATTATGGGCGAGAAAATCTTACAACCTTTTTATCTCAGCTCAGCCTCACCAATGCCGTAACTGGTCATATGTCACCCTGGTTGTCTAATAGGCTGCGGGCTCTGGGTTTAGTCACATAACATCCCAGTTTCTCATATTAGACATAAAAGTACAGCTTTACCATTTTTATTTCTGCTAAATCTGCCTTAAAATAATATGAAATGATTCAGTCATACATATCACACAATGGGCTGTTTAAGGCTAAAACATCTGGGATCATCCTGTCGTTTAAAGCAGTCATAAATAAAATATGTCCTCCTATACCTGTAGATCCCAGAATGTGAACTACAGAATATGCAGTTTTTGGAGAGCTAAACATAAAGAAAACTAAATATGATCTAGTTTTGAAATGTGGATGTGAAGCATGCAGTTGGGTCTGGATATAACAAAACAACAACAGGCTTAATCCAGATTAGACAAGTCTCTAGTTCTCTGCTTACATAATCAATTAAACTTCTTTCTTCTCCCTCTGACTCTCCTGCAGACTAAGCAGCCGCCTGAAGACAGTGGAGGCCCCGATGGATTCACCTACTGCTTCCTGCAAAGACAAACTTCTAATTATAAAACACTGACCTTAAATGTCTGTGAACATGCAACAATTCATCTCTTCATGACCTCAAACTCTTACTTTGAAGGCCCTTTTTTTTCTGTATATTGTTTTACACTGAATGTTACATCTGTAAAAAACTTTGAAGTGTGTGAGACATGAAAAGAGTTATAGTTAGCTCTCTTTTTTCGTACATTTTCAAAGTGTTGTAAGCCATGAGTTAAAACCTAAGACTTGGTGAAGATTAAAAGCCTTATGAGTGCAGATACAGTCTGAGACGAGAAGGGTTCTCCATCTGGTGATTCTTTCTATAAAGTGGTCCAGACAGTCCCAGGTCAGCACCAGCTCTCCATCATCAGGTCCAGCTTTTCAGGTCCCTGTCTGGGATATGGTTATCTTGACCCCTACTGACCCTCCACAAATGCTCAGGACCTGAGCGTCTCCCTGTCCTGTTCAGTTTGTTGTCCAGGTAAACAACAGCATGAAGCGGTTCCCTTTTCTCTTCAAATCTACAGTCATCTCCTTTGTCCAAGTTCAAACTCAATAGAATCACATTTTAGATATAATACCAACGATTATGTGATGATGCAAATAAACATTTACAACGGATCTTTCTTTTTTCAGTTCATGCATCCATTATCATCCTGTTATGTTTTCTAATATAAAAAACAAAAACAAATTGCTCACTAAATTCAAAACTTTTAAACCTTGTCATTGTTTCTGATCATCCCTACTGCAGCAAAAAAGGTTAAAACTGTCAGAACTTTCACTTTTTGCCTCTTCCTCTTCTTTTCTTCTACATTTAACTTTTTTGGATTTCCCAAAGCCTCTCAGCTGCCATAGGATAATATCCGGTTCATTCTTTGTGCCTCTTTTATTTCCGGATACTTATCATACAATTGTATCACTCTTGTAAAGAAATATGTGAAACTAGTTGTTTGTTGTTGTTCCCAAAACGTCACTAAAGGTTGCACAAAGAATAGAGTCATTTTCTGTTCTAATATGTGAATAAAGAATCTCTTGTTGCCGAATCAACTGAGTTCAGAAATACTTTATTGAAGGTTGAAACTCTCATACTGTGAGAGTTTTTAACCGGTTTGTAAAGGTTAATACTGTAGGCAGGAAGACTCTTCTGCAGAGGTCTGTATTACACAGTGATGGGCAGTAGCGCCGCTACATGTAGCAAAGCTATTAGTTTAACTACATGTTCCAGTAGCTTGACCGTAGC